GACAAATATCCCCGGCTCTTATCTCAGAAAATAACTGCTTCATCCCATTGCCTCCATTCCACCCATAAACGTAAACCATTGACGACTGATCCAACAAGCGAATGCACGAGAAAAAAAATTCTCTCAATTTTACAATTTAGGTATAATCACAAGGCGAAATTATACCTCAGTAATTTTTAGTTGATATAAACCCGAATAAATGCGGCATTAAGAGGACAATGACAATGTTAAGAAGTAGGTAATGTCAGATTTATTGTGGCAATTGCAATCGTAACTTGATCCACGTTATTGCGAGTATTTTATCAGCCCACAGTTGTCCATAACCCCCGGAAGGAAAAATTACAAAGGGAGAGAGGGGAGAAATTTTATTTATGCTGTTATAACCCGGGTCACATTGTCACTGGTTGATTTTAAGCGCGTAGGCAGTGGTTCGCTTGCAAGTTGACAGTGGCGCCACGTTGTCGCGACAATTGCCCGTTGTTATACGCTACTCAAATGTTATATACCTACAACTCTTCTCGTTCGGTATCAAACTTAGTAAATCATTGTGAAATACCTCACTTAATGTATGAGATGATTATTTCAAATTTTTCAACCACATGGCAAACTATTTTGCCCCGACAATTGGCGAGATACCTTTTTCAAACGCCATTATTTCCATTTTTACTTTTATGATTAATTACCATTTTTTTCAGAAATTTTTGAACTTCTATTTTTTTTTTTCATTTTTTATAAACAATAAGTTTTTTGTTTTTTTACGTGATTTAATTGAGTGATTTTACTTCGACATTTTTTCATTATTGAATTTTACAAATTTAACTTGTTTAATGTTTTGGAAATTATGTCGGCAAAACAGATATTTCCCCCCCGAATTTAGCATTAAATGTCAAGGTATAGTAGATGCAGACACGCAATTACATCAAAATTTTTGATTGAAAAATCATTTTCTTTTAACGGAAAAAGCGTTATTTCCATTTTTATTTTTGTTAGAAACTGTCAATTTTTTAAATAAGTTCTTCAAATTAATAATAATGATTATAATTATTAATGTTTTTATACAATTATATTCTTTCTTTCCATTCTTTATAAAGAATAAATTGTCTATTTTTTCGCCTGATTTAATAAAAAAAATTCCTTTCAACATTTTCACATTAGTGAGTTTTACAAATTCGACTTGTTCAATATTTCTGAAATTATTGTAACAGGTCTTTTTGGTTTGCCTTTTTCCACTTCCCACACCCTATACAAGATGAATTAAATTAATTTTTTTT